AGAGTGAGTCCGACCTCGACGTGATGGAGGCTCGTGGGCCAGGGCAAGCGACGCCGTTTGTGCGCGAGGAGGCGCCGACGGCACCCGGCAACGAAATTCCGGGGGACGGAGGCAGCGTTCCCCCGTCGCCCCCTTCGGCCCTTCGGGAAGGAGCGACTTCGGCGGAGGCAGTGACAGCTCCACCGACAGCAGCAGCAGCAGCAGCAGCAGCAGCAGCAGCAGCATCAGCAGCCCGAGCAGCAACAGCAGTGACGCCGGTGGTGCCGGCGGCCCCGGCGGCGAAGAGTCCGGCGACCCAGGTGGGGACGGCGGTAGCGATGGTGANAAATTCCGGGGGACGGAGGCAGCGTTCCCCCGTCGCCCCCTTCGGCCCTTCGGGAAGGAGCGACTTCGGCGGAGGCAGTGACAGCTCCACCGACAGCAGCAGCAGCAGCAGCAGCAGCAGCAGCAGCAGCATCAGCAGCCCGAGCAGCAACAGCAGTGACGCCGGTGGTGCCGGCGGCCCCGGCGGCGAAGAGTCCGGCGACCCAGGTGGGGACGGCGGTAGCGATGGTGATCCCGGCGACTCCGAGAACCTTGAGGAGTTGAAGTATGATCCAGCCGACGACCGCTACCCCCGCAGGCTAGAAGGGAAGAAACTCCTCTGGGGCGCCTCGAACGCTGGCCCGCTGCGCCATGGGCTCGAGAGTGGCCGCACGCGGAAGCAGACCCGGGAGAAGAAAGGTGCCGGGGAGATGCCGGGACCCGGAGAAACACCGGACCCGGAAGAGGCACTGCTGGCGACCATCCTGGAAACTGGCGGGACGGGGATTGTTGAGGACTACATCTGCAACTCGCTTGTGAAGGAGCAGTGGGACGAGGAGCAGACACGCCGTATGGAGGAAATGTACAGGCGCGAGATGCAGGAGGTGTTGGGCCCGGAACAGCAGGCGTTCGGGGCCGAGGTCGACGCCAGCGGGTCTTCGCAACCACTCCCAGACCCACAGCTAAGTATGACCTCGCCAATCGGGCAGAAGCCGAGTGATGTGAAAGCAGTGCCGATGACGTACAAGGATGTGATGTGTTCCAAGTACAAGGTTTTCTGGGAGGCGGCCATGAAGAAAGAGATAGATGGCCACGACAAGACTGGAACCTTTACCAAGGTCAAGGAGCTGCCCGAGGGGCGGAAGGCCATAGGTTCAAAGTGGGTGTTCTCTTGGAAGACGAATGAGAAGGGCCTGATAGTCGACTTCAAGGCCCGTATGGTTGCGCGGGGTTTCTCTCAAATCCCCGGCATCGACTTCCACCACTCATCCTCAGCGTGCCCGTCTGCAGCGTCTATCAAGACGGTGATTGCCGTAGCCACTGAAAAGGGCAAGAAACTCGGTCACTGGGATGTGAAGCAAGCGTACATCCACGCTAAGCTAAAAGAAGAAATATACCTCAGGTTCCCAGAGGGCTGTGATAGCATGTCCGGCAAGGTGGTCAAGGTTGAGCGTGCCCTGTATGGCCTAAAGCAGAGTGGCCCTGAGTGGGGGTTTGAAGCTGCCGATGCCCTCATCGAGAATAGATACGAGCAGTGCAGGGTTGACCCGTGTGTCTTCAGGAAGGTGCTGGATGGAGAGGTCGTAGGTCTCATCGTGATCTACGTTGATGACATCTTAGT